TACCAAGGACTTGTCAAACCTTGAGTTTAACCATGGTTTAAAACATCTACCCATTTTTTTGTTATTTCTATGACTTTTCTTTCCTTTCCTCATTTTCCCCTATCCATACCCACTAGCAGTATGGAAGAGTTTTGCAAGATACAAAAGTGTGCAGTTTATTAAAGCATTGCATTGATAATTACTAAGTTATTGCTCCCTTGAAGATTTTGGATTTGAAGTGAGCATGGACCCTCCTAAACTAAATTCACAATCCACAGGTGGGCAGTATCTGTATGAGGATCAGTGACAATAACGTGCCCACCTTCAAGTACAGTGGTGCCCTGCATGACAATGATATTCTGTTCCAGGAAAATCGCTGTTTAGCGAAATCGTCATCAAGAGAAATCAGTTTCCCCATTGGAATGCATTGAAACCCGGTTTAATGCATTCCAATGGGGAAAATACCTCCTCGTCCTGCGAAGATCGCCCATAGGGAAGCCATTTTGTGAGCGCCGATCAGCTGTAAAAATGGCTGCCCTGTGAAGCATGGGTCCGGAAAACACAGGTCAGCCATTTTGCGGAGCCGGAAAAAATTGTCGCCTTGCGAACAAACAGTTCATGAAGCATGGACCTAATTGACATCCAGCGAAAATCCGCATTGGAATGACTGTTTTGGGAATCGCTATAGTGATTGCAAAAAGTCATCGTAATGCAGATTCATTGTTCAGCGGGGTCGTCATCTTGCGAGGTACCACTGTAATTCGGACTGCCATCATTCATCTTACTGGTTTAAAACAAATAAACAAGGTTGCACGTCCCTTGTTTGGCAAATAAGTGATCTCTTGGAGTTCGAAGCCTCAGTCCTCAAAGACATCAATTCTGCCACCCTATATATGTTTAATCAGCAGGAAGATGAACCCAGCAGGGCCTCCTTCCAGGTTAAGTGTCTACAGGATTGTGACTTTACAGCAGTGCTTCCCAGCCTTGGGCCCCTAGATGTGCTTGGACTACAACTCCCAGAAATCCTGGCCATCACTGCTAGTGGTCAAATCATCTGGGAGTTTTAGTCCAAGAACATCCGGGGGCCCACGGTGGGACTCGACTGTTTTTGGAGCCGTTGAGTCTTCCAAAAACACAGCAGGGCACTTTTCTTCCCACCAACCAAGGCAGTCCCATGGTGATGAGACCATCTCAAAGGAGAAAACTATGGTTTCTCATTGAAGGGTGTGCAGATTATTACTTTTTAATTGCACCAGGTGTGGTCTTCGATGAAGTGTCCCTCTAAAGAGGTGCAAAAACATAACTACTGTATTTTTCGCACCATAAGACGCACTTTTCCCCCACAAAACAGGGGGGTGGAAAGTCTGTGCGTCTTATGGAGCGAAGAAAACAGATTATATTTTCCTGTTTTCTTCTCCTAAAAAATTGGTGCGTCTTATGGAAAGGTGCGTCTTATGGAGCGAAAAATACGGTAGGTGCCGTCAAGTTAATTCTGACCTATGGTGACCCTTTTCGAGTATTTTCCAGTTAGAGAGGACTCAGAAGGTGGTTTCCTCTTCCATTCTTCCGGGGGTGCCCTAGGACTTTGTGCAGCTGGCCCAAGGCCACCCAGGCTGGCTCTTCTCCCAGGAGGCCCAGAGGGAGGAATCAAACTCCCAACCTTTGACTCCACAGTCAGTGACCTAGACCACTGAGCTATCCAGTCAGCTACAGAGGCGAGAGACCTCTTTTAAGATCTAAGAACTTGCTTTGATGTGTTAATTAATTAACTCAGGAAGCGATTTGGAACACACAAAGGCTGCTCAATGAGTTCACTTGTAGAGCCGAGGGATGGATTGAGCCCCACAACTCAAGACAGCCAAATTTTGCCCTCTAAACGCCGGGCAATCTTCCGTGAATGTGCAGAGAAGGTTCTCTGGAAGGGGGACCTTCTCCACTCCAGGACTTTTCGGCGTTTTTGCTGCTGGTTTCCAGACAGAGCCTGCAAAAAAACGGGGGGGAAGTGCTGAGGTTTGCAGAAGCGAGCAACGAGGGACTGGGGAGGCAAGGAATAGAAGCGGAGATATTTTAAATTATCGGCGCTTTCTTGAACCTCAACAATGGTTTGTTTTGGGTTTGGCTCAAGTCTTTTAGTGGAGGTTTGAGTCAGGTTTTAATAGCGCTTCTCACTCATCCATTAAGCGACACACGGACCGAGCCAAACCTGGCCCTCCCATCTTTCTTGGGGGCCAAGGAAGTTTGGAGGGAGACGGGAGGCACACCGCGAGGGAGGGCCGGGGAAAGCGAGCGAGGCCTTTCCGTGCGTGCTGGAGAGTCCTACGGACGTATAAATTGCAGATGTGGCTCGGATAAATCCCGTAACTAGATAGGTATTATTATTATTAATTTAAAAGTGGAAGGGGGGGGAGAAGAGGCCTTGAAAACGCAAGGAGGAGGCAAATCGGCATACATGTCGAATGGCTGGAATGGATTTCAAATGCCAGAGATAGTTTATGTAAAGTCTTACACTCTTGTAAAATGTAACACTATCCACTGGCGGCGCGGCTCACCGCGAAGCTTCGTCCCAGTTAAGGTTTTCTCCCTCTGTCCAGGTTTTTGTATTATTTTTATTTTTTTGAAACAAAACCAAAAAACTTCTTCCAGCCCATTAAACTTGATTTATGTTCTGCCCGTAGATTCCTTTGCTCTCGGCCTTTTGGGGATGCGAGTCCGAGGAATCGTGATGACCTCATCTTTGGCCAATCCAGCCTCCGCTTTCCCAAATATTCAAAGCATTAGTTGTTGGACTTTTTAAAATTTCATTTCATTTCCCTTGCTTGCGAATATCAGGGAACTGTTATTATTGCTGGAAGTGCAGAGGGGTTCACCAACACCGGCCTGAAATTCCCTCTCTTCGCCATTTTAGGTCTAGTGGTGCTGGCCCTACAGTGAGCTCAGGAATCTGATTTGGGCAGGGCAGGATAAAGCGGTGGTGATGGAGATTGTTTTTTATAAGATGTTAAAAAGTAAAGGTAAAGGTTCCCCTTGACATTTTTTAGTCCAGTTGTGTTCGACTCTAGGGGGCGGTGCTCATCTCCGTCTCCAAGCCGTAGAGCCAGCGCTTGTCCGAAGACAGTTTCCGTTGCCACGTGGCCAGCGTGACTAGGGAACGCCATTTTATCTTCCCACCGAAGTGGTACCTATTTATTTACTCGCATTTGCATGCTTTTGAACTGCTAGGTTGGCAAGGAGCTGGGACAAAGCAACGTCGCGTAGATTCGATCTTACGACTGCTGGTCTTCTGACCCTGCAGCACACAAAGGCTTCTGCGGTTTAGCCCACAGCGCCACCACGTCCCCTTTATAAGATGTTACAATAATGCTAATTAAAACTGCAGAACTGGAAGTGACCCCCTGGAATCTGATTTGGGCAGGGGCAGGATGAAGCGGTGGGGATGAGGATCGTTTTTATAAGATGTTACAATAATGCTAATTAAAACTGCAGAACTGGAAGTGAACCCATGGGTTCACCGATCAAGGAGGCTCAGTGGAGAATCGAACTCCCAACTTCTGGCTCCGTAGCCGGATGCCTTAAGCCAGTGAGCTAGCCAGCCGTTCTTTCGTTTCATGTGGTTCAGTGTGCTGGTCACCAATGGCTGACCTTGGAGTGACGGTTAATGGCCAGCATTAAGATTTGCATTTCTCACCTCCCAATGACTTTTGAACAGCCCTTAGTGACCCTAACCGTGGCTGATGTTTTGCATTTCTGTTAGATTATACATTCTTCATCTCATGGGTGCATAAAACTCTGTCTCTTGAGAGTCTCTTCTGTGCCTCTAAAGAGTTCAGCTACATGCCATGAAAAATGTTGGATGGATCCATCTGAGTTGTTGATGTTGATGCAACATTTATTGTATTTCTACTGTCCTTCTGGGTTTTTCTTTTCCTGCCTCAACTGCAAAAAAAAGTAACTTGGTGGGCCATAAGGGCTGTGCACCTTGACTAAGGTGAGAGGGGTGGTCTCCATCTCGGGTAGAAAATTAGAAGCTGTTCAGTGGGAGAAGCCGTAAGGTCAGCTGTAACATAAAGGTCTCGTGATCTCCCACACTTTTAACAGTCACAAGGAAGCATGAGAGATGGTGGGAGATCCAGGCCTGGGAACTGGAATCCTTTGGCATCCGGAAGGCGACACATTCCCCAATTTTGGTTCAAGGCAGGAATTTTGAAACCTCGCATGGTGGAGGGAAGGCTTGGGGGCCTCCTTGCACCACAGATTTGGGGCTTCATTCTCTCTCTGAAGTGCTGTGTCTTCTCACTGTTGGGGCGTCATCTTGTACAAGTGGTGCCTCGCTAGACAGTTACCCCGCATGACAGTTTTTTTCCGCTACACATTGACTTTTTGTGATCGCTATAGCGATTCGCAAAACAGTTATTCCGATGGGGGAATTTCGCTGGACAATGTTTGGTCCCTGCTTCGCAAACCAATTTACACTAGACGACGATTTCGACAGCTCCCTCCACGCTTGCAAAACGGGTGTTTTCGGGACCTAAGCTTCGCAAGACAATGATTTAAACAGCTGATTGGCAGTTCACAAAGCGGCTTTCCTATGGCCGTTCTTCGCTAGACAACAATGATTCTTCCCCATTAAACAGGTTTCAATGCATTCCAATGGGAAAATGCTTTTTGCTAGACAATGATTTCGCTAAACAGTGATTTCAGTGGAACGGATTATCATCGTCTAGCGAGGCACCACTGTACTTTGGTGATCCTGATGGGTCAACACATGTCAGAAGGCCCATTTTTGTCAAGTAACGTCCCTAATGTAGTACAGTTGCAATACCGGGCAAAATCCTTAATTAGCACAGACAAATGGAACCAATGGGATTCCTCACAAGCGTTGACTCCACATTGTCCTAGGGTGTCCCACTCCTTCAGTAGGTCTCCTCAAGTTGGAGGTCACAACTGTGCAGATCTTGAGCCTTTCCCAGAAAGCAGTGGGGACCCCTCACCCAACTCATGTCCTGTTTTCCTACTTCTTTTAGGCATGCCGGACCAAGGTGTACGACTTCAGCGACGGAATATCTCAGTACGCCTGGTATCCGTGCACCGCCAACAACACTCACACTGTTTTCTGGCTCAAGGTGAGCGATGGTCCCTTTTAAAATAAAAGTTGGTCGAAGTTTCGTAAGCCACTCCCTCTGGTCCTCCGAGGCCCAAGGCAGCAATGTGTGGGTGCTTTCCCGCACAACTGGTTTTCGTGACCAGTCCGGGGAGCAGGGATCGCTGGAGACCAGGTGGCAGCTCAACACTCTCAACGGCAAAACCGCCACCGTGGCCCCCAAAGGGGTTAAACGATGGTGGAGTGAGTGAGAATCGATAGCAAATGAGCTGCATCACGGGGGTTGGGGGGAACCCCGAGGAAGGGAACATCTGAAGTCACTAAGCATGAAGAGAGGGACGAATCCAGTCCCCCAGCTGACATCTTGGGCTTCCGTTCCCCTCTCTCCCTAGGCGTATTTCTCCCAGCCGATGGTAGCGGCGGCTGTGCTTATCCACTTGGTGACAGACGGGACGTGGTTGCACATGGATCTGGAGCAAAAACAGGAATCTGTTATCGTACAGCTCATCGACACAAAAGACCAGCTCCATAATCTCGGTAAGAACTTTTCACCTGCCCTTTTTTGTCTGCTGTCACAAAACAAAATCAAGCTCTCTGGTGTGGTTTGAGCAGGCCATCTTTCTCTCTCTATATATATGAATGAGAGAGGAGAGAATCCTTTCTGGGAGTATTTTGGGAATGTTAAACGTTGTCCCTTGCACGTCCATTGGCTGATGGGAATGCAGTTTCTGAATTATAGAAATGAAACCATGAAACTCTGGTTCCGGGCCATAACTCCCTTCCCTAGGGTCCTCGATCCATTTTTGGATTGTTTCTCCGTCGTCCCGCACCCTCATTTTTCCCATTGTATTTTGTTGATGCCTCTGTTTGGAAGTGGTGAGTGACTGCATGGTACAGACTGAGGCAGGAGGCATCCTCCCATGGCTGTAACATGGAAAGGCTGAAAGAATTGGGCCAGCTTAGCCTCGAGAAAAGACGATGGAGGGGAGAGAGGAGAGCACTTTTCAAATATTCGAAAGGCTGTCCTACAGACGAGGGGCAGGATCTGTTCTCCACCATCCCAGAGTGCAAGACACGCAACCGTGGGCTCAAGTTAAAGGAAGCCAGATTTCAGTTGAATATCTGGAAAAACTTCCTAACTGTTAGAGCAGTACGACAGTGGGAACGCTTACCTCGGGAGTTGGTGAGTGCTCCAACACTGGAGGCATTCAAGAAAAACCTAGATAATCCCCTGGCAGATCTACTTTAATGGTGTTCCTGCCTTGAGCAAGGGGTTGGACTTGATGGCCTTGTAGGCCCCTTCCAACTTCACATTTCTATGATTCTATGATCTTGGCCTCTGAGACAGTATCTCTGTGGCGTATCTCAGTACAGAAATGTGTAATATTACATTTTTAAAAAGAGGATTTCCCCCACTTGTGCTTGTTTTTGTAATGAGGAATGCAGACCGAAATCTTCTCTTGTGTTACTCTTTTATGCCACGTAAGGAATAACAAAAATGCATACCTTCCCTTCTATGAACATGAGCTGTTTTGTGGCTTTCACAAGGGAATCACTGTGAGGACATATGTGTGTGTGTGTGTGTGTGTGAGAGAGAGAGAGAGAGAGAGTTGTGTGCGAAGGTGTCCGCCCTCTCAAAGGGAAAGGGTGCTGATTTTGTTTTGCGCAAGCTGTGGTGCGCGAGGGTGTCCGCCCTCTCAAAGGGAAAGGGCGCTGATTTTGTTTTGCGCAAGCTGTGGTGCTCTCCTCGCCTTGTGCTCACCTGGAAGGGAAGAATCCTGCTTCTGCTTTGGGGTTGAGACAGCCAAGCTCCACAAGGACATAGAATTTAGAGCCTATTCTTTACTGCCGTCTTTCAAGCTCCTTGCTCAAGCGAGCCGCCGTATGGGTGACCTCTTCCTCTGCCTTTCTCCCCCTCCATCCCATAATCTTTTTGCCACCTCCTTCCCCCTCCCTTTCGACAGGGTCCCACAGCCTTAGCTGCCGGAAGAACCCTTTGGTGATCCCCGTCAACCACGACCTCAGCCAACATTTCTACCACACCCAGGCGATCCTCATCACCTTCAGCTCTCCCTTCGTGGCCATCTCTGGGGTGGCCCTGCGCTCCTTCCATAACTTTGATCCCATCACCGTCAGCAGCTGCGAGAACGGGCAGACGTACAGTCCGGCCGAACAGAGGTGAGCCAGGCACACACAACCACCACCACCACCACCCCGCCTGCCTTTGTGATGCTTGACCACCCATGGACTTCCAGGCTTTGGTGGGTCTGATCCGAGGGGATAAGAAAGACCTAAGAGGAGAAAGGGGAGGGGGGGATGACCTTTGGCGCTGCCATGTGGTTCCTATTGAACGCGAACGGACAGGGTGTTTAACCCACCCACCCCCCAAGCAAAAATGTCAGTGGATTATTTCCGCCTCTTTTGTTTCTGATCTGCTTTTAAGTCGTAGTGTGAACCCAGGCTGTACGAAATCCGAGCGTTGTGAAAATCAACTCAAGGGAACGGGCTTGGTCTGTGAGAGAGGACAGCCTTTATCATTTCTATCATACTTTTTCTGGTTTTGCTTAATTTTCACACCAGTCCCAGTGGAAAAACAGAGCGGCGTGGCGAAGGTTGTGTGAGATGGACAAAGGCGCCAGAGGGATCAAACATCACATCCGAGGCGGCATGTTGTTAGAAAGGGAATAGAGTAGACATATTCTAGATGGACGGTATATAAGTCTTAATAAAATAAATACAGTCGTGCCCCGCTTAACGATCACCCTGTATAATGACGAATCCGCTTCACGACAATGTTTTTGCAATCGCAAAACGACATTTTAAATGGCTTTTTTTTTTGCTTTGCGAAGATTGGTTCCCAAATGACATTTTAAATGGTTTTTTTTTTCGCTTTGCGAAGATTGGTTCCCTGCTTCAGGAACCGATTCTTTGCATTACGGCGATCAAAACAGCTGATCATTGGGTTTTCAAAATGGCCGCCGGCTGCTCAAAATGGCCACCTGTTGTGCTTAGGGACCGATTCCTCGCTGCACAGGCATGGAAAATGACCGCCCCTATGGAGGATCTTCGCTGGATGTTGAGTTTTAAGCGGTTTTTAATGTGTTTCAATGGACTTTTTAATTTCGCTTTACGATGTTTTCGCTCCACAGCGATTTCGCTGGAATGAATTAATGTCGTTAAGCGAGGCACCCCTGTAAATAAATTCCTCCATTGGTGAAAGAGGTTTGATGGCTACACCTGCCCTAGCTCACAACGTAGTTCACTTTACTTTGGGACTGAGCATCGGGGTCTGAACAGGAACTTTCTTGGCCGTTAAAACTGTTTGGAGGTTAAAAAAAATATCTGGAACGTGAGTGCAATTTCACCTTCTGATGACGGACTTCCTGCAATATATAATTTCATCTCAGTGTGTGGACAGAACAGAAGGGCACCAGCGTGTGAATGGCTTCTCTTGCCGCAGAAGGGGCTTTTCACTCTACAGCGTCTATATTTCCTTAAATGGCATATTTGCAAACTTGGGGTTCAGTCCAGTTTTAGTTGGAATTGAAGTAGGCCATTGACATCAATACGATTTATGTACGTGATGTCAAAGAAGCGCCATTAACTTCGATGGAGCTCCCGTTTTAAAAGATGTCCAATTTGGCCATTGGGTGTGTAGTCTTCACTTTGTTCAACTTCCTGATAAGTCACCTTGACTCCCACTTTTGTGAACCAAACCCCCTTCAATGTCATGGTTAGATCTGGGGCTTGAAATGGGAGTCTTTGATGACCCGGCTCACCATCTTCCACACACGGTGCAAATAAGATTTTGTGCGTGTGCGTTTTAACAATACTCAGTCCTCCAGCAGCGGCCGACCAGCACCCCTGGGTGTCATCCACACCTCGTCTTCCAGATGGCTTGAGAGAAGATTTGAACCTCTGACTCTCGCGTTGTAATTCAGCCAATCCAGCATGTTTTTCCAAAGCTCAAGATGGATTTTGCCAGAATTTCCTGGGTGTTACCATTAATATCCTCCTTCCTTCCTTCCTTCCTTCCTTCCTTGCTTCCTTCCTTCCAAGGATGAAGCATGCCTATTGTTTTTACTTCCTCAGATAATGCCTTCTTGAAGTAGATTCTAGAAGACAGTTTAATATGAGGCCTGTTGTTCTCAGAATATGTTTTCTGTGTCTTTTTGAGACAGAACGTCTTGGAGACCATCTTCGGAAGGTTTAATTTTTTTTTTAAAGCGGACCTCTCTGCCTCTCTCTTCATCCTACCTTCCTTCTTGCCTCTGTCTCCATCATTTGTTCATAGCATATCTTGAGTGGTTTAGTCCTCCGTCTGCAGAGCCAGAGGTTGGGAGTTCGAATTCCGCACCGTGCCTCCTTGACAGGGGCTGGACTGGATGATCTAGAGGATCCCTTCCAGCTCTTAAGAGGCTTATGACAAACATCCTGCTCCAACGTCTTGAGAAGGCAACCCATTCCAAATGTCTGAGCTCAAAAGAGAGGAAGGATGCCATGCGGATGGGTGGGTCGGGAGGAGCAGAGAGACGCTCCCTCGGTCTCTGTCTCATTCCTGATGTGTAGGAGTTGGCCAGACGTCCGTCCGCAAACTGGAACTCTCTTTTGGAACCCGAACTGCCTTTTCCACCTCTGCTTTGTGGGCCTCGAGATTCGGCTCTCCCGCTCTTCAATGGAGCTGTCACAGTGTGTTGTATCTAGGTCAGAGCGCACTGTCTCCGTTGATTTATTTCTCTTTTTTCCCTCGCTCTTTCCTCTCTTTTTTTCCAGCTATGGAGAGACCTATCTTTGTCTTGTTAGGCCTGAAAGGAGATTTCCAGCCGTTTCGTGAAAGGCCAAGAAAGGAAGGTGGAAGGGGGGAAAAAAAGTTCTGGACAGAATCTCGGGTAACTTTTTCTTCCCCCACTTCCGCCGCAGAAGCGAAGAGCTGCGGATCCTGTTCTGGGGGGGGGTGAGTCCTCCATTTGAAGGGCACAAATCCTGCTTTTCAAGGTATCTCCTCCACTGGACCTGGGCTCCCGTTTACCTTTTAGCTCTTGCGTGCTTCTCTTTTTCCCGCGTTGCCATCCGAACCAGCATTTGCAAACATCGATTCGTTTTGTGACCGACGTATTTCTCCGAATTTTCGCCATGACCCTCGTCACCCATCCCGCCAGGACCCTTTGAAGCTCTGCTCCAGCACAATCACGCTCGCCACCTTTTTTCCCCCCTCCCTCTTCCCCGGTAGGACATTTTCTCTCCGTGCCCTGACAAAATTCGGTTCCAGCAGGGCCGAAGCTGGTCTCGCTTCGTTTCCAAATGTGTCGGAAATTAAAAGACTCTCCCACTTCTCTCCCTCAATAGGGCAGCGTCCCCTAGAAACCAATTTAGAAATTGAGAACCAGACATTCATTTTTCTCTTCTCGGTGAACGGGAAAGAGTCGTTGCCCTTCTTTTCTGCTTTCTCTTCCATTTGGTCCTTCTTTCTTCTTTTTCTCATTTTCTGTCAAGTTGCTTCCGATCTCCAAAACGTCCTCGACTGCCCTGCTCTGCTCTTGCAAAGTCAAGCCTGTGGCTTCTTTTCTGGAGTCCGCCCATCACATATTTGGTCTTCCTCTTTTCCTCCTGCCAGAAACCAGAAAAAACAACAACTCTCCCTTCGTTCTCAGCCTCTTTTTTCCCCTTCCCCTCTTCCTCTTTTTCCCTTCCTCTGTTCCCTCTCCCCGTTCTTTTTCTCCTCACCTTCCTCTCCGTGTTCTCCTCCCCTCCCTTCTCCCTCTTTCCCCCACCTGCTGGCCTTTCCCTCTCCCCCTTCCTCTCCCTTCTATACCATCCTCCCCCTCAGCCCAAGACAGGTAGCGCGTGTTTCTCTGGCTATACCATTATGTCACTGCTCCGCAGACTTTATAGTTCAAACCAAACCTATATTTACTTTCCCCAGTTCCACTTAACCTCGTTTTATGGCCTTCCATCTTGCTGGAGGTTGCCAGCCTCGGCGAGGGTGGGCCGCGCCGTTGCCTGCTTTCGCGAACATCTGCGCCGGTGGCGGAGGGAGGCGATGGATGGATATAAAGCCCTCCCTGTGAGCGATGGTTTGATGTCTATGCTTGGTTTGGTGCCACCTACGCAAGGGAAGCCCTGGACCTCCCGCCTTTTCAAATTCACTTGCCGGTCCCAAACAGCAACCTCTTTAGTTTCTGTCCACCTGGTTTGGAAAATGGGCTCCTCCCGGTCTCTTCTTACGACCTGGCCACACCTGAGGTTGGATAAACCCTTCTTCCATTGCCAGCGATGCCCACCCTTTCCAGGACTCTTCTGGGAACGCCATCCTCATCAGTGAAATCCGGAGCGTTCCCGAAGGCAAAAAGAAGCTTCTCCACTCTTCTGCCCGATCTTTGTTTTCTTTCGATCGTTCCCTCTCCAGCTGGGAATTCGGGAGGCAAAGAAACTGGTCTCTTACTTAATCCTTTTCTCCCACCCCACACGACCCACTGAAGAGGGAGAGGTGGAGAAAGAGAGAGAGGCCGCGTTCTATGTGTGAGGCTAGGAAGTAGGAGACAATAGTTCAAATCTCTGCCTGATCCTGGGCGCTGCGGGCTAAACCGCAGAAGCCTCTGGCCTGCAAGGTCAGAAGACCAGCCGTTGTAAGAACGAATCCACGCGACGGAGTGAGCTCCCGTCACTTTGTCCCAGCTCCTCGCCAACCTAGCAGTTTGAAAGCATGTAAAAATGCGAGTAGATAAATAGGTAACACCTTGGTGGGAAGGTAAAACAGTGTTCCCTAATCACGCTGGCCACGTGACAACGGAAACTGTTTTCAGACAAGCGCTGGCTCTACAGCTTGAAAATGGGATGAGCACCACCCCCCTAGAGTCGGATGTGACTGGACTAAAAATGTCAAGGGAAACCATGGGATCTGCAGGGTGATACTGGGCTAAAAGCCCAGTCTTTCCACGTAGCCTGTATTACAGGTTCCTGTAAAGATAAATTGGGGGTGGGGGGAGAGGAGACCAATATAGGCCTTCAGAAGTCACTGGAGGAAGAATAGGGTAAAAAAAAAAATTATGAATATCAGGATCTACTGACACCCAAAAGGACAATGTGGGGCAGGAACGGGGAGACTATCCTTTTAAATTATTAATATGAGGACTATAGCTCACGTCTTAATTATTACAGTCAGCCTGTTATTAGGAGCTGAAATTTGTCAGTGTTTCAGAGACGCGATTCCAGAAGATTGGCATGACCGAACCGCCATCTTTCCAAAAATGATAAGAAGAAATGGACTCTGCTTACGCCTTCGTAGCCAGTCACAAAACAAAGCAGGTTCGCTTACAAACTACAGAGGCATGGAAGGCTCCCAGGTGTGGCTTCCAGATGTTCTCCAACCCAAAGTTATTTCAGCTTCTAAGGACGGGCTGTTTGTCACGTCTCCTTTGGCTCTAAGGGAGCGTGGAAGCCTGGCAGGGGAGGCAGAAAACTTTCTCGGGACTCCGAACCTGGACATCCTGGCTCCGATCCACTGCTAGGGGTGGGGGGTGGGCAGAGGGAAACATGTCAGCACGCCAGATGCTTAAAATAGTCCATGGGGGGGGGAAGCGAAAAAGAGTCCCCAGTTCAGCCTGCAGCCCTGTCTTCTCTCTCAGCCTGAGGGCTCTCTTGTGAGCATAAAGGACAGCTGCGTTTTTGATCCCGTCACAGACTGCCAAAGGCAGGAGAGAAAAAAAGAGAGCCCCGATTAATTGCGTCAGCCTTCATTAGCGGTACGGCCATCCTTTCTTTCCGGCCCAGTTCTGCCTCACCGTATCGATCCCTCTCCATTTTGCATCGTTCCTGCTGTTCCCCACAAAGAATGATTTTCCTTTTTCCTTTGGGAGAGAGAGAGAGAGAGAGAGAGAGAGATTGAGCGCTCAGCTGTCACCCCCTCGAGTCCCGCTACCTCTTGGGCGGACGCAGGCCCGCGAGTGACCGAGGGAGGGCTGACCAATAAGCAAAATTCCTCTTATTTTAATGGGATTGCAAGGAAAGCCATCATCAGCCACTGCAGGTGTCTGGACTACGGGGCAGGTACGTCAAAGTGGAAGGAAGCAGAGGGGTTGAATGACCTCCAGGTGTTGGCCTTGAGGAAGCCTACCCAACTTTTACCCAACCTGATGCTCTCTTAGCATGATCATCACAACAACTGTGGCCAGAGATGTCCTTTTCCTCATTTCTAACCTCTCTTCTGCAGCTCTTGGACACACTGCCTGCCTAGAAGGGACCATGGAAATTGACAGCGCTTGCTGTTGACCATGATAAACGATGACCCACCATCTGCCATGGCTAGATGAAGGTCCTTCAGTAGGTTTGGAGCAGTCGTTCCCAACCTTGGGTCCCTGGAGGTTCTTGGACGACAACTCCCAGAAATCCTGGCCAGCCCAGCTCATGGCGAAGGCTCCTGGGAGTTGTAGTTCCAGAACCTCCGGAGATTGGGAACCGCCGCTTCCGAAGCCTCTACCCAGTTCTTTTTCTTCCTCGCCCTCCTGCCTCCGTTGCACAAGACCAACTAATAAAAGGACTTTTCCTCCCTTGGTCCCAACAGCTGTGTCCGATATTCTTGCAAAGCCGCCACCTGCCAGGAACTGGACATCGAGAACGCAGAGCTGACCGTCACCAGGAAGGGGGGCTTCATCGGCGCTCAGTGCAACGTCACCTGCCACCGAGGGTACCTCCTCCGGGTCCAGAGGGACAGCAACCCTGTCAAGCATCAGGTGGGTGGTGGAAGCCCACGGAGTCTCGTAGTGGAGGGCAAGAGGGCAATTGGCTTAGATAGGAAAGGATAGTGAGTTGGGGGTTCGATTTCCCCCACGGGGCCTCCTTGACGTGGGCTGGGCCGGATGATCCAAAGGGCCCCCTTCCTGCTCTGCAGCTCTAAGAGGACGATTCTCTGAAGAACCGAGAAGGCAAAAATGCCCATTTTAAGGCCAATCGTGTATCTACATATTGAAGATCTGTTGTGGGTTATGAGAGGCGACATATTCTCTAGCCCAGGTTTATAGGGTGCCTGTCCTCTTTTTGGGGTTCTCAGGAAGACTGCTGTTTTTTGCTTTGTTTTTTTTGAGATATTTGAATTATAAGGAAAGTGAGTTAATTTCCTTGGCAATGAGGGCCTGATGAAGAGGCTTCTTGCATTCGGCGGCTACGCAGAATTACAGGATCATGGAACCAGAAGGGGCCTCGAAGGCCACCAAGTCCCCCCCACACACACACATCCCCACTTAGGACAGGCCAGCCGCATCTCTGCTCCTCTCCAGGGTGGACGGAACCGAATCATCCGAATTCGTCCGGGCCCCTTTTGCTCTGGAGACAGTTGGCCAAAGCTTCAGTGACTTCGCATCAGGGATGAAAAGAAGTTAGTTGAGGTTTAATGGTTGTTGTAGGTCTTTCGGGCTCTTTGGCCGTGTTCTGAAGGTTGTTCTTCTTAACGTTTCGCCCGTCTCTGTGGCTAAAAAA